GTACCAAGGTAACAAAGATGAATATGACTCATTCATACAAAGTATGCCAGAAAGAGTAATGCAAACATGCTATGAGTAAAGAGAAGCGCTACAGAATTTCAGTCCTAGTTGTTGTTGTTAAGCGCTGCTGAGTCGGTTCCGACTCATAGCAACCCTGTATAGAATTTCCAAGGAGCAGCTGGTAAGGTTGAACCACCAAACTTGTGGTTCAAACCAACTTTGTGGTTCAGTGCTTTATCCCATAGCACTACAGTCCTAGTAAGAGTCAATAAATGTTAACCATTATTATTATTCTGTAGAGTAAATGCTATTTCTTAAAACAAGTGACTCAAAGAAGCAGGCGTTTAAGAAACAGATTCAGACTGCATGCTAAGTAAAATACAGGATGTGCTTTAGGCAAATTATGCACTGAAGAGTATGCACACCATAATTAAAATATACATTCTTTTTAGATAACAAATGATTTGAGAAAAGGGAACAACAGCAAAAAGAAAGCATTGCCTGGTAAAAAAAGAATAGAAAGGGCAAGTTAAAAAATAAAATATACACAAGAAAGCATGATGAAAAGGAAAAATACCTACTTTCTTAGAAAAATATGCTATAAATTAAAACAAAACACCAAAACTCAGACCTCATGACCTTTGCTTAAGTTGATAACAGAATACAAGAAGCTAGTCCATACACAAAAAAGGTAAAGATATAAAAAAAAAAGGAGGCTTGATGGCAGCCAGGGTGGAGGTGCAGTGAGATTTGCAGTCAGCAATACCACAGAATACCAGGCAAAGCAGATTCAGGGCAGAGTTCCAAAACTTGGAACCACAAAGGAAGGAATATTTTTAAAGTTTGAAGGCTGATAGCTAGTGGAACTTGTAGTGGAAGTAAGAAATCATGTACTTTTGAATCTGCCGGGCTTGGCAGCCCAGAGGCGACAACTTGGATGAGACCAAACAGCAAGACCAAGTGGGGGAGCACACACACCATGGAAAAACACCAGGGGAACCTCGGAGCAAAGGTGGAAAATACACTTTGTCGGTTTTGCTTAGTTCTAATTTTCTCTTTTTTTTTGGTAATCTGTTCATTGGCCCCCCGCTGTTTGTGTACCTCCACTCTGGTGACTAGAGGGGGTGCCTGAGCAAGTGGACAACACCCGCCCCCAGCAGGGGTGGGTTCTTCTGCCATGCATGCACACAGATACTCTCAGCCCAAGAGCTGCCCCTGAACTGTTTTGTTTTCGTTTTTTAATACAGAAAAAGCCAGAACAAGGGGTATGGAGAGGGAAAGAGAGTTTAAAAACAAAACAGGCCAAAAATTAAATTAAATCCTGAAGTATAGTGTAACAACCAACAGTGGCATCTTGAAATCTATCAGACATCTTTGAAGGCAAGAAGCTGAAAGAGGACATTAAAGTCATACTCATATTAGGGTACAGATTTTTTTTTGCCTTCTCTCCATCTTCTCCCTTTTCTGTGATTATAGACTACAGTATCCAATCTAGTTTTTGTTGTTGTTGTTGTTGTTTTTTTCTCCTTGTTTTTTGCTATTGCTGTTTTGCTGTTTTATTCTCCCCCTTTCACTTGGGGGACTCTGTCTCTCCCTATATTACCCAAGAAGAGACAGCAACTGCTACCATATAGTCAAGCTACAATCACACTCTATAAAAGACCAAAATTCAGG